CTGCTGCTGCTATTAAGAGAAAAATAAGTAGCACAAATCGGTTACTATTAATAATATATTCCTGAGAGTTTGTCCTTATTACAAGGTACTTTTTCAACAGCGTGAGTTTGTCTTAGCAACCCGTCCCTCTTCCCTGTAATGCCTTCCTGTGATGTCTCCAGCTCTCTGCCCTGTGGGGCAGGCCAAAGCAGGAATATTTCCCTGTATTTTCCCAGATCAGTGGAATTTCAAGAGGGAAATCATCTGCCTCAAAAGGCTTCAGAACACATGCAGATTTCAAGAATCCAAATTATACCTTATAAATTATATTGATTGCAGTACAGATTGGTTCGGTCTGGGACAGTTAAGTGCAGGTTAATCTTTGCAACACATGAGACAACAAGGACATTACATACCATGAACTGTCACTGACAAACCTCTCTCAAAAATAACAGCAGAAGTCCAGAGCAGAGCAATCTTACGAACACGCTTGATGTCCTTGCTGGACATACACATTTTCTTTGTAGAATTTGTACTTGTTTTAGTGATAATGCCAGGAGAGAACTACACTAAAAGGCTCCCTTCTCAAATCACTAGAAACCCTGCATATATTCTTCTTCAGCACCTTCTGCTCTGAGCTGCAGCCTGGGTCCCAGCGAAAGCCTGGCTGAGAGGGCTGGAGCCATGAACACGTTGTCTTTTGCTTGTGTGAGTACAGTGTTTGTCAGTAAGCAGCAGAATCTGGATTCTTCTTCATTAAGCTGACAGAGAAACAATGCTAGTGTTCCTGATGCTCAGAAAACTGGCTTTGAAGCATTGCAACATACTCTAAGGACTTTTTATTGGAACTGTGTATTTAATGGAAAATATGCTTTAGAAATGAGTGAAGAAAATGGAGTGCCATGAATCTGTTTTAAGTGGGGAAAAGGACCATATGGATAGGAGGAGATATTGAGCCTAGTATTAAAACCAACAAAAAAAACCCCAACAAACAAACAAAAATCACACATGTCTGTTGAGCTGAAGAAATTTCAAATGAAAAGTCCTCTTCTGCTCCCATTATACTAACAGAGTGGAAGATGGAATGATTCAAATTATGAAGATGTTTTCTCTAAGACATCTGTTGATCTGATACATGTATAAGACATCTGAGCCCAGACCTGAATAACTAGGCTTAAAGTAATTCACCTTACACAGGAGAGGAAGGAATGGGTTCTTGCTATGCAGGAACTGATGAATACACTGTAAGTAAAAAAAGCAGAAGGTTTTCTTGAGACCTCAGGAGGCTCTCGGATAGTACCAATAAGGCACTGTTCATTGCTGTGACTTTTCAGGTGTTTACTTCAAGCCTAGCTCTAGCCTTGAACCACATGGAATGGGAGTGGGCTGAGGAGCAACTTGCACCATAGTGGGACTGGAAGTGGTTCTTCCAAAGTATTGGGATGCTTTAGGAAGTTAAGAATAATTTTAAACTGCAGAGGGGAGAGGCGTAGGATTTACACCTCCTCCGCTAATACCTGTTAATGGAATTAAAGCTTCAATGATGCCGTAACGTTCACTAGCACAAAGTGGGATAGTTTTCAGTGCCCCACCTGTCTGTAAAAAAGCTCCAGGTCCCACTTACATTTGCACCATTTGGGAAGTGGAAGGAAACCTTCAAGAGGGGTGGAGGTGGTCCATAAGGAATGTTCTGTCATCAGGGCTTCCTGCAATGATAAAAATCTGCTAGGAAATATCTGCACTGCAGCAGCCGTGCTCAGTCAGCATGGTGAACCTTGCTTGGTACTACCAGCAGATCTCATGATCCCATCACACCCTTTTTTATATTTGTCTGTTGTCTTTACTCTTTGACCCTGGCAAATGGTTTGTGGAGGTTTTAGATAAAATGGGTGTAATAATAAAGGAGATCTAGATTTTACCATCAGGGCTCATTAAATTACTCATTTGAGAGTTGTTCTAGTGAAATTAATGAGACCATGCCTGGAGTAAAGCACAAATAAGGCTAGAGAAGGGTTTCAGAGTAATTATTTAGATTTACAAATAAAACAGAATTCTGCATTTTTAGGCAAAGTGTAGTTAGATGGTTAATTAGGCAATGCGCAATCTGTGTGACATGACTATTTTTGGATTTGTTTTTAACAGTATGTCACAATACTTCAGAGATTTTGGTTTTCATTGCTTTGTGAAGGATAATTTGCAAATACTGTGATGGAGAATGCTCTCACACAAGCCCAAGGGATGCGAATCTTACCATACAAGTCGTAAACTTACAGGGCTTTCAGACTCATTTGAAGGCTCTGAAATAGCTTGCTATGTGACCATAAAATTTTCTCTGTTTTGTTTTTTTGTGGGGGTTTTTTTGTTTGTTTGTTTGTTGTTTTGTTTTGTTTTTTGGTAGTAAGCCCTTGCTTTCAGCCACCTCTGTAAATTGTTGATTGACTATTTTTCTGCCACGTTCAAGTTATTTGGATTTTCTCTGTATATGCTGGGATGATACCAGCATCACCTGCAGTAAAATATTCAATGCAACAAAAGCATTACAGAAAAGTTGCATAGAAAAGTCAGTTGATACCACCATATATACCAGTCTCAAGTGTGTGGGAAGAAACATTTCTGTCACTAAATTTAACACATCTTGTGAAAATGTGCTTTTAGAACTGAATTCTTCTTTTGCTTGAAAACAAACCGGTTTGGCTTATTAGACATTTAAGGTAGCTTTGAAATGCAGGTTTTAACTAATAACTTTTTTTTATATTGACCACAATGATTTTTATCAAGCTTTTGGGAAGCTGAAATTTGAGAAGGGCAAACCTCCCATGAAAAGCAAGCACCTGATGCATATGTATGTGTACTTTTTTTTCATTGGATTTTGGGTATGGGAAAAGTGGACTCCTGGTGTGCTTTTATGTTGTTGTTTCCTATCTTTTTTTTTTTTTTTTTTTTTTTGGTGGTGGTGTCCCATCTTTTTGAAGGTCCATTTGTCTGCTTTTGGTCTTGAACAGAAAAGCAAATCTTGGAAAATCAATGTAACACATGTTCACAGTTCTTATTCACCTTGTGCCACATTTGTATCCCTTATTTTTCTCACCTTAATTGCTAGTAAATTATTCAGATTTTAAAGGCATTGAACTGATGAGTGGAAAACATTTAAAAAAGCTGCTGACTGCCTGTGGAATGCAGAGTCCTAGAAAGCTTGGCCCGCGCCAGCGGGTTTCCTTTCCTGTCCCAAGCAAACCCTTTTCCAGTGGGAACAGGCAGTTCTTTACAGTCCCCTTATCTCGATAATGTAACACTAGCAATAACACTGAGACACTGAGGGAATCTGGGGAGCTTCAGTGTAGAAAAAAATGTTACCAACTGGGGAAAAAAATCTCCACTTAATCTGAGAAAATTGATACAAGACAATTGGAGAAGGACAAGTAGACCTGGAGTCTGTGGTCAGCGTGATTGACTCTGCCGCTGGAGCTGCAATCTGCAGCAGATTTTCTGACCTTATTTGTGGCAGAACAGTTTGGAATAAAGTGGTTTAGTGAATGTCCTCCTCACTGCGATGGGTCTGTTTGTACAAGGATTTTGTGTTGTCAGTACCCAGCTTGCTTTTAGCATCACATTACAGTTGGCATCTCAAGCAGTCTGGATTTACTGTGGGTTTGAGTAAACAAGAAGTTTTGTAATACTCCTTATTTTTGCATTAACTATGCCATTAATGGTTGTAAAAAGTGGTATTTCTGGTCAGACCCTGGGTGGCAGCGCTGCAAACCATGGTAGATATTTTAGGCTATAAACTAAGGAGCACCTCAGAAACCACCCAGAGCACGTGCCAGCAGAGCCACAGGATCCTTGATGATAACTCCTGTAGCATCAGGTAGAATAAGTGATGTCTCATTTCCTTCATGAGGGACTCTGCTGGCATTTTAGAAATCTTATCATGACATAAAAATACATTTCTCCCTCATTTTGTAAGATGTTTCTCAAGTGATTCCAGCGAGAGAGAGAATTGCCACTAGGAGCAGTGATCTACAGCAGAGAAACGTGGGATATAGTCACCAGAGGGGTGTGGTGGTAGAGGTTACCACTTTTTCATCCTTGGGATTGCATCCTGGCCCATATCCATATCCTCATATTCTCCCTTCAGCCGCAGCACAGTGTTCCTATTAAGATAGAGTGATGAGGGCAAAATAAATGGTGGTACCGGGCTGTTTCTTGGGTGTTACGCAGCAACGTTACAGAAGTAAGGCCCGTCTTCTGGGCACTGAACTGGATATATCGGGTTTTTACCATGGCTGAAATTAAATTTACAGCTTTTGAGTTGTTACCAAATTACTAGGAAATAGCTAGGAATTAGAATGATTCTTTATATTACCTGAGGTCTTAAAAGTGTGTCCTCAGACAGCTTTACTTAAAGAATCTCAGGGGCAATAGAGAAAACCACTTGTAGATACTTTCATGTCACAAGCAGATTTGAAAATTGCATTCAACATATTTTCTATTGAATATATTTCACCATTAGACAATATTTCCATAATAGAGCTGAACTTTAAAATTGCAAAGATTCTTCATTCCTTGGAATAGCTTTAGTGTGGCCAAAATACCACAGCTGCTCATAGGTGTGGTATTTGCAAGTATCACACAGTGCGGTTACTGGGTTCTCCACGTATGCTGAGGATGGAAGAACCACACCAAACCTGGGATATTTTGTGAACTTGGTATCAAGCTATGTTCATTAGACATGCCAGAACCTGACGCATACGCCTAATTCCCATAAGGTGTCTCCCTTTATAGCACTGGGCTCTGATAAACTTGGCTGTGGATGTGAAAGAGGAGCAGTAGGGAAAAGTAGGGTTTAGTTTTTCGGGATCATAACTCGACTGATTGCATTTTGTAGAAGGAAAAGCAGCTTGGAGTTTTGCCTTTACACAACATAGCACTTCTAAAGGTCTTGAAAGTTAATTGTCATTCGGGCTTGTTGAGGCTTAATTTACTTTTCTTCTCACAGATATCCACATTTCTATCAAGCAGAAATGACCATGACTGCCAACAAGAATGCCAGTGTCAACAGCAGAGCTGGAGGGAGTAAAGTGCCTCAGGACACTCTGGATAGGTAAGTGGTGAACTGCAGGCTTTGTAGATTCTGAGAAAGGTTTGTCTGTGGTTGGAACAAAATCTCTGTTCAAAGGTAAGCCACGTCTATTCTGACACAGAGAGCTTTGATGGGCTGCGGAAGTTTTCGGTAGGGATTGGAGGAACTGTCAGGTGTGGCACCCTCGGTCAAGCATGGCTTAGAACAGATTTGCCTTTCTTCCTCCTGGTGCTGTTCTCCTTTCACTCTTTAAGTTGTGAGGTTGACTAAAGATATAGAAAACCAGCATCAATTCTAGTGTCTTTTATTAGGCATATTATGCTGTGTTAAAGCTCAGCAGAAATGGACTCGATATACTTGTACGCTTCCCAGTTTGTTAGTTTGTGTGTTTGGCATCTCTTAGTACAAAACAGTAAAAACATAAAAAAAAAGGGGAAGGAGGACGGCCAGAGGAATTTCTAGAGAGATATTCACATGCAGATATTAAAACAAGATCCCTAATGATATCTGGCATTCTCAAGCTGTTTATCATCCTTCCATCAGTGAAGACAGATTGCTGCTGGGAACTTGGGTCTAGACTTCATCAAACTTTGGACTTACTTTTCCTTTCTGAATATCTTAGACAGTACTAGGGGGTACTAAGTTATTGGATAATAACTGTCAAATAAACTGTCTTTCCTTATCATCACCATCTGTTTTGAGTAGAATTTGTCAGAAAAAGATTTTGTAAGTACAAGTATGGACCTGAAGCTAAGGAAAAACTTTTGAGTTGCACTTGCATGACAAGTGAAGAGATGAATAGGTTGTCGGGCACCAGCTCTCCCTCCATTATTTTGCCTTATGTAATCTTCCTCACCTGTCTATGAAACCCTGTAAGAGGATGTTATTTGAGTCAACCATGAGGATTCTTCATTTTAGTCAGACTGTAAATCAGTGGAGTAAGTGCTGGAATAATAAAATTTTAAGGCTTGCGGGATTTATTGCAAACATGTTCAAAGATTGACTTAAACTGAACAGTCCTTGTCTCTGTTTAGTATGGGATTTGTCTGGAGATTTGGAAATCTGCAAATGTGCTTCCTCTATAATTTGTGGGAGTAGAGTTTCAGTAAGTGCTGATACTGACATAACACATGTATATTAGTCTCCTGGTGGCTAAGACATCTTTTTAGTGTTATTTTCTTTTCAGTCCTAGTTTTGGTGGGGGGTTGTTGTTGCAAGACTGTTCAGTTGGACTTGATGATCTTAAAGGTCTTTTCCGACATAAATGATTCTATGATTCTAAGATGCAAGGTGTGTTTCAGTGATATAGTGTCACCATCTGGTTCAACCTTTTGTGATTCCTTATGGGTCAGAAGCAAAGGTCAGTAAAGTCTATAGAAGTCTTTCTAATTACTTTGGCTGTGAATCAGACCCTCGTAGATAATTGATTTTTTTAATAAACTTAAACTGAAATCTGATCTCTGAGTTGCATCTTTCTCCTTGCCTGGGAAGAACTGAGCTGGGTACCCACAAACCCCTAAATATAGGCTTTGTTTTCTATCTCCCAGCAATGTGTGAGGCCATCCCTGCTGTCATGCACAATTTGTCAGCCTCATTAGTCTAACATGCACTGAGATATGTTTGCACTGGCTTTGTGACTCAGACCTTCTTCAGAATTTAAATTAACGGGACAGAATTTTAATTGTCAGGAGCTAGTTTACCTCCAGTCAAGGCAATAGAGATGCACCACATAAACCAAATTGCTATGTGGACTAATATAACTCTAGAGGTACCTAAGGAGTGTTCCGACTGAATTGTTTATAACTCTTTAAATATCAAATAAAATAATGACTGCTATTTCCTCACCAAGTGAGCCCATGGGGTAGTGTTATGTCCAGCTTTATCACGAGTCCGGGATTATTCGCTGTTTGTATTCATAGGTAAAATCACTGCTGGAAATTCAGAGGGAAGGTTTCTCAGGCTGATGCATTCACCTGCTGCTAACTGAACCAGAGGCCAGATGCTTCCCTTTTGGAACAGGTCTTTGCATGTGCTCTGTGCTTGCTTCTTGCTTTTTGGGGTTACAGGTGACTGCAGGAGGCAGTGGAGGACTGATTCCGGTGTTAGCAGAGCCAGCAGAGTCCTGGAGCGGTATTCCTGTATTCAGCTTCCAGTTATCCACCCTCATTCTTTTGTTTGGGAACCTGGTAAATAGTCACTGCATTTGCGTAAGCAAAGAAAACCTGTCTTGTTTGTTTTAACAGCAGGGTCTTGGTGTTTGAGCAGGACAGAGCTAGTCTGTGTAGGGGAGGGATTGTCTGGGTTGGTTACTAGGAGAAGTGTTGTTTTGGGTTGGTTACCTGTCCCCATCATGAATGCATGTCCATGCTCAGTCTTGCAGTCTTGTGTCTCACTACTGCATTCCAATGATGAAGGCAGAAACAATACGGGCTTTAAGAAAACTCTTAGGTAAAGGAAGACTTCATGTCTGTGTTTCAGCCTGAAACTGAAAGGCACAATCACTTCCAAAATCAGGCCTAGTCAAGCCAAATTCATTCAGTTTCACAATTTATTTATTTATTTATTTATTTATTTTTAAGTGAAATTACTTCACTTAATAAACCCAACTGAAATACTTTGTTTCCTTTGAAGAAAAAAATTATGTGGCTGTGGCCTGGGCAGAGGACCAGAAATATTTTGCCTTAGGTCTTGAGACCTCCAGAACACTGAAATAAAAGAATGTGCAGATCTGCCGGTGCTGGGGTTGAGCAGGGCTCTGCTGCTGTCAGCGCTGGAGCCTGGGTGGCACTGGCAGTTGTCTGCTCTGCTGGCTTGCCCTGGAAGTGCTCCATTCTCTTCCCTTTCCACAGTAAATTTTTTATTTCAAAGGTGATCTCATGCCAGGAGAAAAACTGCCTATATAGGGAGAAGTGTTGTCTTCAGAGAGGCAATGCCTGTGCAGTCCTTTTCTCTTATTGAGAGAGATCGGTTCATCAGTGCCACTGTACTGCCTTTTGCTTGCTGTCACCTGACATGTAACAATAGGATTTTAGCTTAATTTGTATAATTTCAATCCTTTTGCTATTGTAACTTCCCACCTCTAATAAAAAAAAATCCAAAAAAACAAAACCAACCAACCAAAAAAACCCCAACAAAACCAAACCAGTGCCCTTCAGCTCTGTATTAAACTGTAGACACTGTCCAAATTTATTTTCAGGTCATTCATCCAGATGCAGTCCAGTCTGCCTGCACTGACAAATGAATTATCCAGTGACTAATGCAAAAGAGCTGTGTTCGTGTCCGGGACTGGATGCCTGGGGGGACAGATAAGGCAGAAGGATGCCGAGCAGCTCCCTCTCCTTTACAGAGCATGGTGAGGGCAATAGCTCTGCATCCACCATGATGGAGCCCTGATCCTACTGCAAGAAAAAAATTAATAATGACATAAACAAAATTAGTTTTTTTATTTATGTCTTTCATGTACATATACATTTAACAACTATGATATTCATTGCATGTCCTAAGTTTTCAGAATGGACAACATTGTGAAGAAAGCAATAACTTGGAAATCAAAAGGTGCATCTTCAGCTGTGTTGCTCTAAAACAATGAGGTTTTGGTCTCATTTGAAACTCTAATGCATACAATTTTCCCACTAATTATTATGTGTGATTGCCATTGTCTTGGCACAATTATGACACAGTATTCTCTCATCTCTTACTCTTTCTTTGCAAAGCATGTGGACAGCGTTGCTGTGAGTGACAGAAAAGCTGCTTCTTTCCCTTGTGTGGATGGCTGCATTTCAGTGGCAGGTGAAAGGCTCTCTCTGCCTGGGCTCTACAGTTGGTTGCGTGGTTTAAAGGAGTCTCCATAAAACATTGGTTATAGATACAGACAGCTAAACTATTCTTCACACTTGGATAAAATTCTCTGTGTGCATGATGTTCCTATCCATGCTTAATAGAAAGTTTAGTGGGATGTTTGGATGCCAGTTCAATTGATGTTATAATGATATGCCGTGGGAAAAAATGCTGGTTTGTTTGCTGCTGCCTCAACTGCGTGCTGAAATGCTGACCAAAGCAACCGACCAAGAGTGGTGTATCTCGGTGAACATCTTTCTCTGGAGGAGACACGCAGGTGTAGATGCAGAAAACAGCAACGATGCAGCGGGTCTGGAAGTGCTTGATGGTTTTGCACAACTTTAGTGAGATTTGTGCATGGTTTGGTAGGTTATCGGTTGCTGTTTTGTGCACATTTGGGTGTACAAGTTCTTGTTTTCCAGGGACTCTGGCGGGGGAGGAGTGAGACCAGCTTGGAAAGGAGAGTGAGCTACGTATGCCTAAAGCAGGGAGCCAAGTCTTCATTTTGTGCATTTTAAAATAAAAGCTTCTTTTGCTCCATCAGTTGTGGGGTAGCCTGATCTACAGGCTCCCTGTTTCCCCAGCCAGAGCAGCACTCGGGGACTTTGTTAGAGCATCAAGAGGCCAGTGATGTGAGTTCAGCTAATGTGCTCTCAGCGTGTCCCTGCCTCTCCCTCTTGCACCAGGCAGCAGATGAGCAGGGCCAGGGCCGCTCGCCTCTGCTCCGGGAGAGCTCCTGGCACCTGAGCTCGGCTTAAGGCGAGGAGATGCTCTGCCCTAAACTGCTGAGATGTGCTTCACTGCCAGAGTGTTTCCTTACTGCTCAGAAATTCTAGTGAGAATCTTTTAAGCTCTTTATGAATTTGTGAAACAAACCCTGTAGAAAACGTTTGTTACTTTAAAAAATAACAAAGTTTTAATATTTTGACAGTGAGCTTGAGAACAGGAAGAATAGTGGCTTGATTAAATTCTGCTGAGGCTGAGCAGTGTGCTAAGTTATTTGAGCCATGATGAGACACTGCTATTTTTTTTCCAGGTAACAACAATTTGAATTGTGAAAAACAGAATTCATTGCAGTGGCAGTAGCATAGAAATCCTTTGTGTTACAAATCCTGCTAGCAAAACCTCAGAAGGACTTTTTTCAGTTAACGTTGGCGGGCAGGTGGGCTGCTGGTACAGGGGGT